AATGTAGGTTAATATGCAGATTATTATTTTTAAAAAATTGTGTAGTAGATGTGTGTATTATGCAGTAGTATGATGTATTAAAATTGCTGTAGTTTTGTATGTATCAGTATGTAGTATGTTGTTTAGTATTATGATGTATGATGTTGTATTTTGTATGTTTTAAAAGGGTTGTTGAGTATGAAAGGTATGGTATGTTTATGTATGGTATATGTTGTTGTATGTTTTTGTATTATGTTGAGTATGAAGGTAATTATGATTATAGTGTAGGTGTATTAGGGTAGTATGTATTTTATTGTAGAAAGGGAAGGTAGTAGAATGTGGATGTATGATGATTTGTTGGTGGGTTATGTATGGGGATTTGAGAAATTATGTTGATATGTAGGTATGTTGGGGAATGTTTAGTAGTAGTAGTAGTTGTATGTTGTATGTAAATGTAGGTATGATATATTTTGTATGTATGCTGGAAAAAAACACTCTCCTAGTTTCAGTCTTGTTTTTTAGTCTCCTCCCCCACATAAAAAAGTACAACTCTCTAGCACTGCGGAGCAAAGCCGTTAACAGAATGGCGAAATCTGACCACGAACCAACAGCCTTCAGTGCACAGACAAACGCCCTGATCATCTTTTCTCTTGCTGTCTCATATGTCTTGGATTCCAATTCGAAAAAAATCCCCGTGTGGGTTCCGGGACCCCATTTTCGAAACAAGAATAGACCAACTGTCTCCCCAACAAGCAGTCGTAGGAATCGACGATGTGGGCGCTTTCTTTGAAGTCAAAGTGCATCTTCCAGAGTGGCAAAGAAAAGAAATGCACACAATTAGCCAGGAAAACGGATGTACACACACAAATCAGTCTCTGGCACAAAGTCAAAGTCCAAATGGACGAACACCTAGGATTTGCAGTTACGGGCGGTGAACAAAGAAGAAGAATCCTGAGTAAAAGACCTACTCTTTTATAACTTTTAAAAACTGCCCCTATATTCGGAACACAAAATACCCTGGAAAGCAAATACGGCCGGCATGATGTTCCGTTTACAAAAATGACCCATCCCCAATCCCCAAAAGCTCAATCAAAACCCGTTTTTTGGTAAAATGGCACCAAATTTAACTTATTATTTTTTTTTTTTAACACCGGGAAAAAAAAACGATCTTCAAAATCGTACAAACGTGCTGGTCAAATGGCGGGTGGGTGGGAGGGGGGGGGGGGGTAGGGAATGAACTAAAAATTTCAAAGCCTTGTCAACCGGTGACTGCCCCGTTGAGCAGCCAAATGGCAATTTGCGTGCCTGTCAGGTCACAGGGAGGGCAAAGGGCAATGCACGTACACAAGAATGACAAAACAGTTACGGATCCGCTCGGCATACAAACACCCACCCGGGGGGGGGGGGTATGCATCTACACAAATTACTACATACACACACAAAGAGAAGAATGAAAGGTTACAGAGCATGCGGGCACAACAGAAGACAACATAAAACATGGGTCAGGGCTAACAAGGCAAAAACCCAAAAGCAAGAAAAAATAAAACAGAGAACAGCAGAACAAAAATAAAAAAAAAACACCAAAAAACAAAAAACAAGAACACAGAACAGAGAGGTTATCTATCTGTGTGTTCCTTTCAGGCTGCTAGCTAAAGGTCTGATCAACCCTACCACTTCAAGAGTCACATCTTGGATGGAAAACCAGCAAGGCAAATACCAGATGCCCACTTCAACGTTCAAAGAGATTATAATCTGGACACCTGTAGCATTTATTCACATTACCACCCTTGTGAAACTTGTAGTCTTTTACTGGTAGATACATTTTGTAATGCATGTGTATTTTTGGTCTTAGTCTTAGTCAAGTTTCAACTTAACTGCAATTTTGTTTCCCCTTGCTTGCTCCGTTCCTGTGCCAGTGAAAATCAAATGAAATGTTCCATACTGTCGCATTTTAAACACTGGTGAACAAACAATTAGTCCTGGAACAATCCAGAAATATGCGCCCACAGTAAATGTGTAATTCAGTTGCTAGAGGCGTCAAAGTCAACAGTCGCCGCCAGAAATGCAGTTTGTCCTTGATGGAAGAAGTCGGGCACAATAAGTTGGCTATACACACATAGAATTATTACATAAGGTATTTCACCAGCTCACACGTAAACCGACCACTCGCCATATTGAATAAATGTATGTGTATGTAGCAGTCTGCATAATTTTTTCCATAAAGGACAGTAATGGACATTCTGTGGGGTTTTTACTGGCATGGGAACTAAGGGATGATTTGTTTCTTATGAAATCAGAAATGACGATTACTTGATGGCCATTACCTTACTAGTAAGGGCGGGCAGTGAATAGGCAGACAATTACAAAACAGATGGTGAATGACAAGACAAAATACGACATCCACACAGGAATAATAAAAATCAACAAACAGGAATTCAAATAAACTGGACAAAAACAATACATTGCATAATTTATTATCAGGCGCATTTCGCTGTATCTCGTCAGGGTCATTACAAAAGAGTCATATCAACATATAATCTACGACAAAAAGCGAATTAATTCCACGGAAATGCAAATGCTCTAATTTTCAAAAATAAGGAGATAAAAAGGCAAACATTAATAAGTTAACAGAAGGATGAGATCACAGCTCCTATGGATCTGTCTGGGGTATTACAATGACAGTCCTAACTAATTCAGGGCTGCCAATAGGATTTTATTTAGAAACCCAGCTAAGCTGAACAAAAACCCCATCAATACATAAGCAAAGAACAACAACAACAAACTCAGATTGTTAAAAAAAGCACAAATTTTATAGTTACGAAATGGAAGATTTACCCACTTTTATATAAAGATATATTTTTTTAAAAACCCAAATTTTAGAATTTGAACCCAATTAGTCAAATAAAAACCCAGATCTGCGGGTAAAAACACATCATTGGCAGCCCTGGACTAATCACTCAAACAGTCCAAAGTCCAGTAGTTTGAGAATACCTGACCTTTCTGCTGGCAGCGGGGCGGAGTTTACAGTTACTGAACACCAAGAAGAAGAAGAAGAAGATGACAACTAGACTGAAGTAACAGGAAGAAGGAACATGAGAAATAAACAATCATCAGGCAGATGGCCAAAAAAATGAATAGCACAAGAAACAGAATGAGATAGAGCAGAAGGGGTGAGGGACACAGGAAGGATATCTGACACTTTTCCCCATGAAGTGTATGGAAAACCAACATGATAAGACTACAGAGGGGCAAGGGAGGCTATTGTGATTAGGTTACAGGCCTGTTCTCACACCAGGGGAGAAAACTCTCACACTACATAAACATGCCTGCTAGAACAAAAATTAGCAAGGGCAAAGTGACAAGGATTTTTGTCTGCAGGGAAACTTGACATGTGTCCAGGGGCATGTGCAGTGTGTGGCACAGTTGGTTAAACTGTGTATGTCACTAGGGGTGTGTACAAGGGGTAACAAAGTTCACTGGAAGTCAGGGGTGTGTATATTGTGTAGCACAGGTGGTTGAGGAAGGCATGTGTCCAGGACTGTGTACAACAGGCATGTCAAACTGGCAACCACAAACCATTTACCTTTAACCTAGACAGTAACAGACTTTTAGTTTTTTTTTTTTAAGTCACACATACAAATAGACAGTTGCAGTATTCAGGTTGTTTTAGTCACACATACAAATAGACAGTTGCAGTATTCAGGTTGTTTAAGTCACACATACAAATAGACAGAGTTTTTTTTAGTCATACATACAGAGAGACAGTAGCAGTATTCAGGGGTTTTTAGTCATACATAGAGAGAGACAGTAGCAGTATTCAGGGTTTTTTAGTCACACATACATAAAGACAGTAGCAGTATTCAGGTTTTTCTTAGTCATACATACATAAAGACAGTAGCAGTTTTCAGGTTTTTTTTAGTCATACATACATACAGACAGTTGCAGTATTCAGAGTTTTTTAGTCATACATACAGACAGACAGTAGCAGTTTTCCAGGTTTTCAAAGTCACCCGTACAAACAGACAGTAGCAGTTTCCAGGGTTTTCAAAGTCACCCGTACAAACACAGAGTACTCACAGTATTCTCAAGCTGGCTTTCTGACAGGTCTTCAGGTGGGCTACTCTCAGTACAGGGCAGGGACCTGGGACAGACACAAACGACATGAACGCTGTGTCCATTTAAAACACAGAATATATTATATAAACTATCCCTGCATATCTTATGCAATAATTGTCTCTCATTTAATGCCAGAAAGAGGGTGCTAAAATATTACATAGAATATGTTCTGCTTTATAGCAGCGAATCTTGGAATGTCAGTGAACAAATTAAGAAGAATTTGGAAGCAACAGAGATGCCGTTTCTGAGACAAATGTTACGAATACCTTGGACGGTCAGAGTAACTAACAATGATTGCCTGAAAGAAACTAATGAAAGTAGATCTCTACATACAACAATAAGAAAGAGACAAACAATGTTTTTTTGGCCACATAATGAGAAGAGAGACATTGGAGAACATTGTGACAACTGGAAAGATAAGTGGCAAAAGAGGTAGAGGCAGACCAAGAGAGAGAGATGATGCTGAATGGGCTGAAACGATGGCATGGAGGGATATCATCAAGAGAGCTGTTCCAGGCAACCAGGGATTGTGATCTGTGGAGACGTATGAGCGCCTACGCCAGTTGGCAGGGCACATGGTGATGATGATGATCCCTGCATAGGTTTCGGCAGGCCTTGGGGAGGGGGGGGGGGGAGAAGAATAGACCCACTGACCTCCATATGTCGTCAAAGCTGACTTCTTTTTTTTCTTTGTTCATCGGCTGTAAGCTGCAGCAGAAAGTCCTGGTTGCTCTTCCATTTGGACTTTAGATTCCTGCCGGGATTTGAGATTTGCGTGTACATCCATTTTACTGGCTTATTTATGTGCGGTTGGTTGTTCCTTGCCACTCAGGCAGATGCACTCCAACTTCGAAGGAAGCCCCCAGTTAGTCAACTTCTATGAAATGCTTTTGGGGGAGGCAGGCGTTCTATCCTGATTTTCCCCACAACAAGGCCCCCGGAACCCACACGGGAAGTAAACGTTTAATTAGAAGCATTTTTTGCAGAGTGCATCTGCCTGAGAGGTAAGGAACGAAAACTGCAGATAAATAAGCTTTGTAAAATAGGTGTGCACTCAAATCTCAAGTTTTGAAACAAGACTAAAATCCGGAAGTGGATTTTTTCTACAAGATCAGCGTGGAAATCGAATCCCGGTAAATAGTGAGTATTGCATTGTGAGAAAAGTAAAAAAAAAAGAAGACAGATAAATTTTACTAATTAGTTATTTAGAAAAAAAAAAGTAAGAAGAGGAAGACAAAGAAGAACCTAGAATGATAATATCAAGAAATGTACAGGACCAAGTTATCACACACTTGTTCGACAAGCAGAAGGTAAAGAAAGATGGCAGGTTTTGTGTGTCAGTGCTTCCATTAAAACACCTCCACGACCCTAACGGGTCAAGTTTATGTATGTTCGTAAGCTGCAGATAAGCAAGGCAGTTCATTCAGCTTCCAAGAGTTTTTTTTCCCCCAGTTGTTGTTGCTCCTGAGGATAATGATTTGCTAATGCAGTTACAACATATGGACTGGAAATGCTTTTGCAGCCAAAGCTACTGAGTTAAGTGCTTCATGCAGCACTATGAACTTTAAGTACTTTCTATCTCACCTTAATTACAAAGATATCTTGCACAGAAAATTAATTGTCACTGGCAACTTTCTGTCTTTCCAGATGATACAAATTATACTGTTGTGCTATCCCCATTTGGGTTGGGGGGAGGGGGGGGGGGGAGGCTTCCTTCAAAGTAAGAGTTCATCTGCCTGAGAGGCAAGGAGTCAACAATCTGCATACACATATAACAGATCTGTAAAACAGAAAGCGCTCAGGTTCTGAAACAAGACTAAAGTCTAGAAGCAGATGAACAACCAGAACTTTCTGCTAGTGTACAGCCGGTGAATGCAAACAAGAAGATACTGTGCTAAATGGAACCTTTTCCACGCTTTCAAGTGCATTGGGTATATAGGGCTAGACTATATTTTATAGACAAATCGGCACTCTGGGTGGGTGATGTGGTCAGCATCATGTTGACCATCCTAACTTCCCAGGACCGCACCTGGCACCCACTCAAGGCTGGATCCACCTGAGAGCCAAGGTCTCTTTTGAAGAAAGTCTGGCACCGTCAGGGCCCGAACCTAAGATCTTCCAATCCATAGGCAAGCACCTAGCCACTACATCATGGCGGCTCTCTTCCACAGCACAAAGCCTGGCGACTGTTGTATATTTTTGTCGAAAATATTCAGTTAGCAATAATGCTGACCCATCTCCCATCTAGTGCTGACTGACCTATATAAAATTTGAGCCTAGCACCTAATGCCCGATGCACCCCAACGGACAAAAATGGTTGTTCCACTTTTTAATTTACCTAAAATAATAAGCAAAGGTAAGTAAAGGTCGCTTTTCCATGCCTTTAAGAGCATAGGGAATATAGGGCTAGACCTATATTTTGATAGATCAATCGGCACAAGATGGGTGATGTGGTCAGAATCCCGCCGGCTGCCTTTACTTCCTGGGACTGCATCCAGTACCCACTCAAGGCTGGTTCGACTTGGGAGCCAAGGTCATTTTTTAAAAAAAATCCGGCTCCGCCAGAGAGCAAACCCACAACCTTTCGATCCACGGCAATGGTCTAGCTGCTCCGCCACGACGACTCCCGCTTAAAATATTTAAAATGTAATACTTACTCATTCACACAAACGCGGTCCTTTTTTCTCATATCCCTCAGTTTAGGATCTGTTTAATAAAATAAAAAAATAACAAGAATAAAAATGCAGTTTGTTCATTCCCTCTGTCCCACCCACCCCAGATTTTAAACAATTTATGAATACCTCGCTTCGTGAATACATTTCTGACCTAATGAATCACTCAGGAAAGATATTTAACATTCAGGTGAAAGACATGCTCTGACCGTCTCTGTTTGGCCTGGCCACACCCAAACATTCTTTCCACTAAGCTTGCCAACTTATCTCGTGCTAGTGAATACAGCTTCACTGACTGCTATGGAGAATCTAAAGGCTGGAATGAGGGATAAATATTTGCGGATTTAAACTGGGAACTTGAGCATACTATTTTGTTCTGTGTGGCTGGGTCGTTCAAAAGGTGGAGAAATAAGAATACCCAAGTGATTCATTTTAGAAATTGTTTTCCTTTGTGACTGCATGTCAGTCCTCCAGGTGACTCATAGAGATCCACGAGACAACATGGAGAGAGAATTGACCCACCAGCTAAACAGACTCACAGAAAACAAGTAGATCCCGGCTCACTGCTGCATACCAGGAAATGAGTTAGCAGACAGACTTGCAAAAAATGGAACAAAGAAGAAATAACACACCCATTCAATGTCATTACCAGAAATCAGAACATTTATCAAGGGAAAATACTAGAAATTGTGGAGAGAACAAACTAACAGTAAACATCCACAAGACCCCATCAGCAGACTTCACAGAAAGCAACCTACAATAATTTTCCATCAATGCTCCTGATGGTCTGATCTAAGCATACAAAAGAAGTTGAAGAAGAAGATTTTTAGAAATAATAATACTGAAGTGATTCAATTTCTACAATTCAGCTGATTTGTTTGGGGAGCCACTGCAGTGCAAAAGCTAAATGCTTGATTCCTGGAATGAAGGACCTGGGTGTAAATCCTCATTAGGATTAACTTTCACAACTGAACTTCAAGGAAAAGCCTTGGGAAAAGGCTGCTGGCATTAGATTGACTATATCGCTCATCAAGTGGCACAGGTCTATAAAGATACGGGTCTCTATGCGGGTTTCCAGGGTCCACATTTAGGAGGAAAATGGAATAGTTCCACTGCTCCTCTAACAAGCATGTCAAAAAGATAACTAATTATGGGTGTTTCCTTCCAAACTGGAGCGCATCCGCCAGACAGGCAAGGAACCAACAGTCTGCATACAAATAATCCAGATCTGAGAAACAAATGTTCATGCAAAACTCAGGTTCTAAAACAAAGTCCAGAAGTGGACGAACAATTAGAATGCTAAGATCTGGAGTACTGAAAGCTAAGATCTGGAGTACTGAATGCTAAGATCTGGAGTACTGAATGCTAAGATCTGGAGTACTAAATGCTAAGATCTGGAGTACTGAATGCTAAGATCTGGAGTACTGAATGCTAAGATCTGGAGTACTGAATGCTAAGATCTGGAGTACTGAATGCTAAGATCTGGAGTACTGAATGCTAAGATCTGGAGTACTGAATGCTAAAATCTGGAGTACTGAATGCTAAGATCCAGAGTGGGATAAAGAAGATTTGCTACAGCTCAAATTATTGTTAGACACCTCATCTTTACAGGGAGCCGCACTACTGAAAAGGCTAGATGCTTGCCTCCTGGCAAGAATGCCTGGGGTTTAGATCCTCATCAAAATTTATTTGCGAGTGACCCAGGGCTTCCATAAAAGGGTTATTTGCTTGGCTCACTTTTAGAATACTATTCTGCCATTCCTTTTATGATATACATCTATATATACACATACATTTTTATACATACAGATACATACACATATATGTGTGTATACACCCATTCACACCCATTATGCCATTCATCCATGATATACATCTATATATATATACACACACACACATATATATACATTCAAGTGTGTGTTGTTTGTTTATATATATATATATATATATATATATATATATATATATATATATATATACACACACACATATATATATATATATATATATATATACACACACACACACCTATACATACATACATGTGTGTGTGTGTGTGTATATATATATATATATATATATATATATATATATATATATATATATATATATATATATATATATATATATATATATATATATATATATATATATACACTCACACATATATATGTGCAGTTCAGAAATGGGGGTAAACAATAATCCGTTGTGTGCGTGCGCGCACGCACGCATACACACACATATATATATATATAAAGGGGGAGGGGAGACACACACACATGCAAAACAGCATATATTTTTGATGATATAATTAATGATTTTGCATTTGGAATATACATTTACAGTTAGGCCTAACTGCCCTGACTGCAATGATTTATAGTTGCTTGGGGATTCATTAAAAAACAAAATAAAATGCAAACATTTAGTGATTTCAACCCTACATTTTACTGGGATTTAGCTCGGAATCCGTCTTGTGGTGGTATACACTACTAAAATGTTAACATCTCCACTCAGAACTGACTAACAAGCTTCACTGAGATATCACTATTTGATATTTTGATCTCTATCCAGCTGTGAGTTTCATAAGTGAAAACTCAATACATAAAACTTCACTATTTTTCTTAAAGTGATAAAGTGTTTGCATTTAGCATCATGAGTGTGTGTGTGTGTGTGTGTGTAAATATATATATACAGAGAGAGAGAGAGAGAGAGAGAGAGAGAGATAGAGAGTGAGATGAAGGGGAGTGACATGCAATGCAGCATATATTTTGATGACATAATCAATTATTTTGGAGTTGAGAAATATAGAAAAATTGTAACTTTAAGACTTTTAGAGAATTATATAACGTCTGCTATCTTTCAAACGCATTCTGTATTATTTATTTAAATACAAATTAAAACGGTAATATATTTCCATTATCCTACAATATATTTAATATAGGGGTTTATATTTTAAAGTTCTCTTAGCTGGTGCAATCTGAAAACGGTAGGAGCCTCATGATTTTATATATCTTAAGGCCTTATCAATCATGTCTAAATCCGGCCATGCATGCATGCAAGTTCACAAAAATGTGTTGACCGCTGAAAACGATCAGTTACTTGTTCTTGACAGACAACAACAACAGCAGTGAATTATTTATTATGTTATTGATTCCAAACGCGACAGAAGTTTCACTTTCCTAAATGTTTAGCATTCCTCTAACGTAAACAAACATAATATCTATGCCTATACCATGACTGGCTTTAGTGCTGGCATTCTTGTCAATCTTTGACTGACGTCTTTTTCTTTTGGAACTTTTCTGGCTGCAACGAAGACCGTTATCCCTGCCCTTCCTGACATCACTGTCCGCCATATTGTGACCTCACCACGCCCTACATCCGGGAAGCTGAGCCGACACACCCACCATGAAATTGTTGGGAAGTCCGGCCCACGTATATAGTTTTCTGTTGATTTCTTATGAGGATTTCTTTTTTCCTAAAGTCAATACCGTGTGGCGTTGGTAGTCATGTCTGTCCACAACCTTTATTCTCGTGTACTTTCAATCAACTCTGACACAGATGATCCCCCATGCCGTGGTGTCAAACTGTTCAGCATATGTTCTCTCGGTCTCCATCTGCCTCTCATCCCTCCAACTTGACCAAAGAACGTAGATTGTCTCTGTCTGATGTGGGCAATCAGTTCTCTCCAAGACTCAGCTTCCACTAAGACGTCCTCCTGAGGACACAAGGAAAAATAATGAGGATGAAACGGGCGGAGGATGAACTACTTGGAAATATTAACGAAGACAAGATGAGAGGAAAACGATGATACACAAACATTATGGAGCGGCCAAGCTATTGGTATAGGAACATTAGGCCAGGAAGCTGGCGCACGTACCTAGAACTTAGCTACGCAAGTGGCGCAAATAAAACAGATCACAAATATACCCGGAAACTGGTGGCGGATCCCTGCCAACAGCAGGTTGAACTTGATCGAGTTTTTTTTCTAGAACGGATGATGATGATGAAAGTTTCCTGTCTAACCCCCCTCCCCCAATATGGGACGCACTTGTGTATGTGTGTGTGTGTGTGTGGGGGGGGGGGGGGGTATCGTAACGCTCTATCACGGCTTTTGTCGAGGCTTTAATATAACGTAACTGTTGAAGGGGGTTTCTGGGACGTGCCAGGGGACTCTCAGCTTAATAGGACACTTTGTGTCACCCAGTGTTTATCACTTGTTGTGCGGTCCTGGTAGGGTCGAAGGTCACTCGTGGGTTCCGAACTCCTATTGCTGGGGTAGGAAGGGGGAGGATAAAAATGTAAAAGAATAGACACGTTGCCCCCTCGACAAGCGTGTCATAAGAGTCAACTAACTGGGAGCTCTCTTCAAAGTCGGAATGCATCTGTCTGAGAGGCAAGGAATCAACGGTCTTTATACAAATAATTCAGATCTGAAAAAAAAATAGTTGTGCAGGCAACATTGAGATTCTGGAACAAGCTTATAGCCCATAAATTGACCAATAAATAAAACTTTCAACCTTAGTTTACAGCCGGTGAACGCGAAGACGAAAATATATAGATAGTGTGTTTAATGAAAGATGAAGAAGAAGAAAAAGATGAAGAAAACTCTTTGTACAGGGACGTGCGGTAGATATTTTCAGTATGATTCAAAGCTTTAAAGTGCCATGCCTTTAGTGTTTAAAAAAAAATGTAATTAATCTTTGAAGGTAATTTTTTCATAATGCACAAATTGAATGAATATAATTTTTATTTTGAAAATATTACTACCTCAAAAATTGATATCATCTCCAAGAATCTACCACAGTTTTACCTTTCTAACTACCATACCATCCTAAGATTTAAAAATCTAAACCTGGACAGCAAACTAACAGGGTAGATCCCAGGCACCCATTTCAACCAACCAAATGTTTTTTTTTAATTTTATTTAAATATCCAGAAACCATGAGCTGTTAACCCTTTGGCTTGGTACTTTGGATATCACAACCCTTCGGCTTTGATTCCACGATAGATACCTACCTCCGGGGCCAGGAC